CGAAATTATTCCGTAAAAATAGTTGTACCACGAATTAAGCAGATACGCTGCGCGAAATCATCTTAAAACGCGAAAAATTATTCCGCGAAAATAGTCTGCCTGCAAACGAACGCGCTAGGAGCCAACGCCACGTTACCTAACATTTTTTTAATATTCTAATTACGGAAGAGAATTTTGAACATTTGCTACGTATATTTTTATCGTCACCTCTACTTTTATCCGGATTCTACGATTTTATAAAGTTGGAGAAAAAGTCAAAGTATCCATAGGAGATTACGGTAAACTATCTTTTCTTCTTTTTTTTTTTTTTTTTTGAAATCATGGAACTTCATTTTGTATTTCTGCCCGTTGCATAACGTCGCGATCGTGCAACTTTCGCGCATTTTTACAATTCGACCCTTGGGTGAAAGATGCGTACACCTAAGAAATAACGATACAAAGACACGAGTAAAATTACTCGGGAAAAATAGTTTTTCTGCGAATTAAAAAGGCACGCCAGGTAAAGCTATGCCATAACTCGGCGGCAGGTAGACAAAATTATTCCGCAACGCGGCAATTGTTTCTACAAATTGAAAACCGCATGCCGCGAATCTGTAATTTAATTTGCGAGGCGGCTATCTCGCAAGTGTATTTTATAACACGCGCCGTGCAAATTTATTTTTGTGGGATAATTTACCGTACGGTCTCCGATTCCGTTTGTGGCGACAACATTTTTCATGCATCGTTGAAAAAGCGGGGGTTTGGTATTCGGAAATAAGCAGACCGAAGTAGGAAATGCGAAGATGGAAGTGGTCGTGAGCGAACGGCGCACATGTTCGATTTTTATCGCAGTCCGCGTTGATCGACTCCTACTCGCGTGAATTGCAGTTCGCCGGGATGCGTCGAAACACGTTCAAGGGTATATTTCTTAACCAAACTTGGCAAACTCGCGATGTGTGCTTCATTCTTTTTCTTCCCTACTTTCGGTCTTAACTTTTTATAGTGTGATATATGTATAGCGAATCGCAAAAATATTCTCCGCATTCGTCTTTCTTTTCCTTAGCGTTATTTATAGCCGCATAAATCGCTCGCATGGATTATTAGCAGAATAATGAAAAGTTACACGAGATTGTACTTACAGTGAGTGACTTACAAAAGTACTCGAGCGCTTACCTACAGAAAACCTTCGTATACATGTAGGTATATCAGTGTGTGTTGTTTAAAATATTTTGAAATTTCGTTAACACGTGTTTCCACGAGTCTACCATAATTAGCAGAGTTAATCTATATATCGTTATATCGTAATTTCGAATATGTTAAATAATTCAATAGCTTTTGTATCGATCTATCGTGCTTTAAATTACCATTTATGACGAATCGTCAAACGTCGCTATCGAAGCGTTTATACGGAATATTTTGTAAGAAAAGCATAAGATTACATATCTGTTTTCATATTTAGATTACGTATTTTACACGACCCTCGAGGTGCCGGATCTTGTCCATCGAAAAGATCGATGAAGATGAGTGATATTTCCACGACCTTCTCAAGCGACGTTTCGTCAGTTTATCTTCCTACGATCTTTTTTCTATTCTTCGTGTTTTATTCTTTTTTCCATGCGAAAGTTTTTATAATTTCTGTTCGTCAAAAATGGAGCATTCAGGGAGGTTCGTCTACGTGTCTTTATTACGTTCAAAAGTGCAGCAATTGCATAATTTATAGTGGCGTATGGTCGTCGAATACGAAAAAGAAGACAGGTGGCAAAACTGAGAAAGATATATCAGAATTTTCACGACTGTATAACAAGTTTGAAAGTTCAACGCGCACCATGTAAAATATTTAACGTCGACCTTAATGGCAATTCGATGTATAAAAGATGTAACTCGAGCAAACGTGGAAGAACCTCTGTACGTTTGCCCTGCGAACTTTCTTTCTGCCTCCTATCGCAATTAGTACATTCCAAAGAAGATGGTATACATTGTGTCGCGTTTCGCAACTGCTCAAAACGATTCGAGAGGATTAACCGACCATAATGCGCGTTCATAACGAATAAATGGACAAACAACGCATTGATATTTCGCACAAAAGGTTAACAAAGAACGTACCTCGCCGTGCGCTTTGCTCCATTTTCGCTTTTCAATTACCGATGTTGTTGTTTCATAACCACAATCCTGATGATTAATCGGGACACAAAGTTTTAATAGGCTGTCTGCCCGGAAATTGCATCATCTCTTTCACTTTGCAACGAAATATTATGACGTTTCTCTCTTTTAACCTGCTTCTGTGCGTGTTGAAATTTCAAAATTACACGATTGCGCACCGACCACGTTATTAGATTTCCGAAAATTCCATATTTTTTTCATCGATCAAAGGATACCGTACACGGAACGACTGAAAATGTTCCAACAGGCGAAAAAGACGACAAACCAACAACCCCGTAGTCTCATGTACCAGTTATTTTGCTTATTCGTGTAGGCTTGCTCGATTAATCGATCGAAAGTGACGTGGCTCGCGTCGAAAGAGGATGTTCCGGGAAATATTAATGTGACCAGGCGGAAAACATAAAAAAGGCGGAGTACATTTTCACGTAGACGATGATCGGCCATCTTGATCGTCATTAGCGGGGTTGTCGGACAGAGCTGTCCATTTATTTCCCAATTTTATCGTTATTATTCGATATTATGTTCCACTGTCTCTCGTTTCTGCTTATTCGCGGTTCTTGCCTGTAAACACATTGGTATATCATAAAGAGAGGTTCGTGCGTTTTAAGCGACGTTCGTTTAAATAGAACGCAATTTTTACTTTGACGCAGAGTTAGTTTCGCAAAGAGTCGCAGAGAGAAAAAACATATTTAACTGTGAATCGCGAATCAAGAAATCAGAGTACAACCGTGATGCAATATGGTGGACGTATCCAGTGGTAGTTTTTAATCTGAACAATTTCGTAACCTAGTTTTTGAAGTCGGTCCATAGTTACTCATTTTTATTACTCGTTTTCAAGTATCGCGTTGAGCCAGTTTGGACAGCATCCGCAGTTCCGAATTGGTTTAATCCGCACGTAGAGCATATAGGTCAAAGCGTCCCAAGTGAGTCCAACTTTCGTTCACGTTATATTACGATTAGTTTCACATTTGCTTCACTTGTCGCGTAATAAAATTCCACTTTAAAACAGTGTTTCGTACCTGCCGCTGGCCACTGCACAAATCCATAAAAGCTATTCTATAATTAATGTCCACGTCAAAAACTAATATGCAACAGGGTAGCTATAAGTGCAGAAACGGATAACCTGGAAAATATTGTGTTTCACACCGAGCCGCGCGCTCTCGCGAACAGGAAAACATCCATCGGCATTAGTTTAAAACTAATACGTTGATCGACAAGTTACAAGTTGCGGGATTGCAGATTTCGGTGGTAAAAGCAATCCTTAAAATTTTGCGAGTTACGCCAATTAAATCCGTGATGCTATTAATACGATTTATGATTTCATACATCGTGGGAATTTACTTGTACGATTATTGTAGACTTTTCAAAGCTATCGGACGTGAAAATTAATTGAAATTAATTTTTCCTTTCGGATATAGCCATTCCTATTTTCTTTTCGTAACTCGCGATTCATAAATAAAATTGCAATCTGCTCCGAAGAAAAACGTCGAATCGATGTTTATATTCAACTATCCAGTGCGTGATATTTTCGACCAGTCGCGGGCAGACGCGATCTCGAGGTAGCGCGTCGACGAGAGTCGTAAATTCCCGTTACGATTATAATAATCGATACCACGAACAGATCGATCCCCTTATTTCTTTTGGGGTAATAGAGGCGGTTGATGCGGTATAAGACTGCGATTAACGGGTTATAGTATCTATATTTCCAACAACTTAGTAGAAGAAAGAATTACGCCGTTGCGTAAGATGCAAGTGTCGTAGACGAAGGTTTGACGGGCGAAGACCCGGTAGAGAGACGTTGATTGTTCTCAGGTTAGAGAATCAGCGTAGAGACCCGGACCGATCTATAAACGAGATCGAGTCCGAGTAAATACGCTGACTGTCCTGTCGTAGTAGAACATATCCCTTGCAGTTGAATATAGTAATGTAGTAGATGCAGTTCGAGATGTCCGATCGGTAGGTGACTTGGCAGTTTTCGACTTGGTGCCAGAGTATCGACAGAGTTAAGTCGGTCCTCGTGTTATTACGGAGGAAAGCTCGGTGTGGGTGTGTCTTTTGAACTAAGAATGCGGATTAGTCGTTCACACTTTTCGTTAGGAAAGCGAGGGTAACGAACCTCCATGCCCTTTGGTTGTAGCCAACGTCAATAAATGATTCATCGTTTATGGAAAAAGCTGCTTTTCCGTTAGACAAATATCCGCTTTCTTCGTAATTTCTAAGAAGGTGCAATAAATCTAAGGACTGTTCTAAGGACCGTCCATAAACCGAAAATACTTCAAGGATTATAGATTAAGTTGAAAAGATTTTGTTTGCTTAGGTTTATCGAGGGTCTGTATTAACGGTACGTGGGCCTTGGAGGCCAGACCACGAGGGACCTCGTACGGACCATCTCACGCGACGTAACGTAGTAGTTAGTGAACTGTCGTGCTGTACGCTCATCGTTGTGTTGTGATGTATAAAACAATTTCACTAGTATCGTTGTTAATCTAATAATCTCGCAGAAGATGATATACGCAGGCTCGAGGATCTGAGAAAACAGAGGAAAACGAGAACAGATTTTCGCACTCCGACTCTCCTTATAAAGATACCGTGGATCGGCGATATTCCGACGCAAGAAAGAGTCTTATAAATACTCCTATTACACGAGTATTAACTGCTTCATTTTTGATATTATCGAGGAAATCGAGTAGTTTCTTATCTCCGTCTTATCGACCAGTATTATATCGGTACTTAAAGATATCGCGTATTTCTCGCGCACTATACTTATTATCGCGAAGTGTTGCGCCGCGACGCAAGAATCCTCGATGCGACGATTGCTGCGGCCATTTTAAAGAACTTCCGTTTTAATTTATTCCCGGAAGCGGGCGCATCCGTGACATCGGACAGTGCGGAGCCAGGAAAGGATCAAGAGGAGCAATACACCGGCTGTTAGCGAGGATTAGCCAGTTCCTCGAGGATGAGCTGTTGCTGTTGCACGGACGAGCCATCGTCCAAAGTGGAGCCCGGGGTAAGGATTATTCTTTACGATTACGCTTGGTTGAAATTTCCGCTCGAGTATTTCAATATAAAAACTTCTGGTCTCGTCTCGTCGCCATGGCGGAAAAAGGAACAGAAGCCAAGTCAGGTCACTGATTTCGTTGAAATTTCGCGCGCAGTTCGCGCACGGGGTGCAATTCTTTTCGCGTAATGGCGGGGAAGAGCGATAATTATTCATGAGAAACGTATTGGCCTCACACACGCGCTTTAATTGTCGTATCCGTGTCTAAATTACGTTCGAGTATATTTAACCAAATAGGTTAGCGATGAATAAACGATCGTTCCGTCTAAAGTTTGCGTTTAGTTTGGCGATTATGTCGGATGGACTTTTACGTGAAACGTTTTCATTTTGGGTCCAATTGTTTATGAAACTGTCTCGACGAGTATCTATTTTTCTTTCTCTTTCGCCGGGTTTCGGAAGATAAACACGTAGATAAACGTAGCTAGTAATAATAATACGAACGAAAATGAAAGATAGATGGAATTCGAAACATAGTTTGTTTTTAAATCCAGCTATATCGGTGATCTGTGCCTTGAATTACTTGTGCTCGAGCTTTTCACGAACGTAAGTTTCTATGCTTTCGACAGTCGCAAAAATAGGAATCCCAGGTCTCTATAGTTTCTCACTTTCGTTTCAAAATTAAGAATCGTTAATTACGTAATATCGGACGTACAGATGCGCTTGTTGTTTGTTGTTTTGTTGTTTCTAATTAATGTGCGCGTGTGACGTTATAAAGCGTTAATTTCCGTTTTAAAATCACCCTTCGATCGACTAAGACCACGGCTTCAAACCGTTAAAAAGCTCATACGTACGAGGGTTAAACGTTTCATCTGGTTCGAAGAACGATATCTCTTAATATGTAACTGATCCATATATTGCTAAATCCGCTTACAGGAGTAATCGTATACTCAGCGAACACTTTCAAATTCTGAATTATACTTTTTAGCACGTTGTTATTACGTCCTTATTGCGAATTTTTATCACATTTTTACGAATACGTGTATAAACTTCCACTAATGAGACATCCTTTCTCTTCTTTGTTATGTAAATTCTTTTACATCAAATAAGAACAATTATACTAGTTTGAAAATGACAATCCCAAGTGCCATTAACGGATTACGTCGAAGTTCACGAAATATTTCGCGTTCCATGTAATAAACTTTGGAATTCCGTCAGAAATAACAGAAAATTTGTTTTAAATATCGAAAGCGGGTGAAACGAACAACAAATAGGCCGGTGGAAAAGCTTTTCATTTTAATTATTCTCATCAGCAAACGCACGAACACTTTTTTCTTCAGAAAACCATTTCAATCTGTGTCTTGCCATTTGCTTTAAAGCCGTTTAGACTGATTAATTCTATCGCGACTATTGCGAGCGCAACAACTGTAACAAATATTTCACTAGAAACTACTATTTTTTTCATAAATAAGATTCGGTGTAAAGTGGATTTAGTTGATCTACAAAGTCTACTAAACGGGATATAAATGATTATTAGAACGTGCGTAGCGAATATAAGTGTTTATGGAAATCTATGTTTGAGATGTACAAATAAATGTAAAATTACGGTAATTAAATGCTTTAAATACGGTGTTTACATATAGCCCGTCAAAGTTAAATTTAGCACAGAGAACTCGTGCCGCCAAAATTCGTCATTTTCGTCCAAAGGGTTGAAAGTAGAAAGACGTAAATACATTCAGTCAAAATAGCGCAATAAACAGATATTTCATTTCCAATGATAAAGCGAACGGGACAGAGTCAATCAAGAATATAAAGTTAAAAAGAAAGAGAGAAAATTCTGGAATAGATAATTCGTTTTGAAAAATAAGGATTGGAAAGCGAGGGGAAAAGCTTAAATTTAATACAACGAGCGAAGTTACAGTTCCAAGGTGGCGAATTCCAGAAATAACGCATCGTATGCAACGTGTTGGATAGCACTTTCTTACGACCATAAATGCGGATAAATGGTTTAATTATAACTGTTTGTTCTCCGTATTCCAAAATGTAATTGAGAAAGGGGTGGTCTTAAACTGGTGATCACTAGCGTGCATGGAAACCGTGTATTCACGCTGCGATGAAACCGCTGTTTTTGCGCTTATATGTATCCTCTAATTGTACGGTTATATACCGATGGTTCCGTTGATCTACAGGGTGATTTAGAAATAACGGGATGATTAAAATTTGATTTTCGCTAGAGACTCGAGCGAAAACCCGAATATCATCGTTATTATCACACGCGCGCGTTCAACGCTATCGAACGCGGACGAAACCAAGCGAATAAAACAGATATTTTTTTGTTGCACCAACATGTTAATAGAGTGGAAATAAATAATCTCGGGATAATAATAGTGGTAACGTTGTAGTAGTTGGTAATTGCCGGTCTCTGTGATTACATTGTTTCGGTAATGAGAAATACGAAAGCAATAATTATCGGCTTTTCTATCTGTTTCGTAATTAACAATTAAACTACCGGTGAATCGAGTTACAAAGTTGTTAATTGACAATGAGACACCGTCCAACGACTACTGTCTTCGTCATTGTTCTGTCGTTTCTGAAATTCTCCCGCGCATTTGTTGAACTCTCTACCACGATCGAACTGATATTAGTCAAATTTTATACGATTCCAGTTAATAAAAGTTACCAGTGCTAATTAATTCTTCTGCATAACTGTAGTTAACAAATTCGTCGATAAAACAGTCAATTTCCGCAAGTATAATATGGTAATAATAATTTCTTACTGTGAAACAGTGTTGTAATATTATCAATAATTATCTTTTCGATAATCGATTAGGGATTATTATTAATATTAAGACTGTCGAGATTCGCTCGTTCGTTGCGCCACGCTTTGATGATATTAACGCATCATAACGCGATCAATATTACTCCATGTAATAACAAAATTTCCATTCGTGCGAGGAGAACGTGTCGAAAAAATGAACGGCTTAACGAAGCTTTTAATTTTGCTTGAAAAGCTTACGTACAAAAACGTGCGTATTAATTTCTCACGGTAAAGATTAACATATATTATCTATGTAGTATCGATCAAGTTCCTAGACCGCCATCCTTTAGACGGAGTTCCGTTCTGAAATTTCACGGTTTCCCTTTAAACTGAATGAAATTACAGAGATAGCGTTCAAACGGTAATTTAAAGCGACTAAAATATTTAAAAAGAAAGATGGGAATCGCATCTTTTTCATAAGGTTCTAGCAGATCTCAATTTTTGTTATTACATATAGAAAAATATGTTCCTCCTAAATTACTTGACAGAATACAATTAACTAGATATCGTGTGATCGATAAGATCGGGTAATTTTGTTAACATAATCTTTGACAGCTACCAAAACAAAATAAACGCATCGATCATTACACGAAGAGACTTGTTCCATTTGACTAATTATCTGCCTGAATATTGCTTTTTTTCGTTAAATTCACAATCAAAAATATGCGATATTTGAAACCGTATGCTACTCTATTTATTACTATTTATTAGTTTAAACAAACAAAATAATAGAAAGAACAGGAAAAATAAAATGCTCGAACGAAAAGATACAGACTTTCGCACAAATACCCGCGTTCAATTTCTTTTTAAATTTAGAAAAAAATTATACGATTGCAATAAAACTATTCATATACAATACACACGCATTTTCAAACGAAACCTGTCTGGGATCCCAATATATCTTCCTTTAACGTTTTTCTGGCCAAACCCGATCAAAACGTTTAACCAACCTCGTAATCCATTGCAAAACACGAATAGCATAAATTTCACGGTTCCGTTGTTCGTTCCACCGTGAAAATCGAGGATAAAGAGTTTCTAAGTTTATACTTCATCTAAAAGTAAAATTTTGTTAATAATATTCGTTCAATTGTGCGAGACGACTCGGGTAATTAAGTTGAGAGGCTGCGAAAGGGCCAAAAACAGTCAACTTCCATTTGACTGAAAATTTTCTCTACAAGGACGATTTTTAACGACGACTCGGACTTGATCAAGAGTTGCTTAATGTAAACGCGACCTTAACGAGAACGAGGCGTAAATAAATGTTGACAACGTGACACGATGATGTTATCAATGGAACGTAATGGCACGCCTTTAATAAGACGAGTCAAGGGAGAGAGAGAGGGGAATTTAATTACGAGAGGCACGCTAATGCAAGGTCACCGTCGAACAGTCTAATTAATTTAGGGTGATGTCTACTACGATCGTTCGACTCGTAACAGGGTTACCAACTGCGTTCTGCCGGTGAAACGACGCGGATTCTCGTTGAAAGCGTTTAGCTACGCTCGATTTCACCGGGCTGAAAATTTACCGGAATGCTGACCGCGACCAACAGATTCGACGTTTTCGATCGTTACACGGAAAGACGTTCGCGTTCCACCGACCAACTCCGTCTTTTTCTCTCTCTCTCTTTCGTTCGCCTATTCTCTGTTTTCTGATTCGAAACTAATTTTTCGTCTACGCGGTAAATTGGAAAAACGAACGACTCGAAAATGTAGATTTAACCCTCGAACGCATGAGCATCTTTTCAAACACGTTTCGTTTAAAAAATTCGCGATTATCCATCTAATAACAGACGTTTTTAATAAAACAACTCATCTATTCGTCCGAGTGAGAATACCGAACTGGAAGGGAAACCGGAATCTTACCTCGAATTTCGTTTGCTCGTTTGCGAACAAAATATCACCGATGATATTTATTCGGTGGAAAAAAAGTGAAGCTTGACACGCTCGCGATTTCGATAAAACAGTTACGATTTCCCATACTTTTTGTTTCAGACACCGGACCACGAGGGGATGTCGACGAGGCAGCCGGACCAGTTTTTCGTTACCGATCGATCGTGCACTGATATCCTGAGTTTGATCGTTCTGATCGGTTTGGTCATTGGTTTCGTACGTTCAACTTTGTTTCGTTTCTCTTTTGAAACAACGTACGTAGAAAGTACAAAACGTTTTCCTGTTACCAATATAGGGTTTCCTTATGAGCATCGTCGCGCAGAAAGGAGACATTTACCGCGTTGTAAATGGCTACGATGACTGTGCGAACGTTTGCGGTCGTATCACGGAAAGAGAACGTTCGAATAATTCCGATTTCGCATGCAAGGGTAAAGACATGAGGAAAAACCGGTAAGCATAACCTGTTCATTGACTCAAGCATGTATGACACGAGATGTATATGCGAACAGCGTTAAAACTACGTTGGCCCCTTTTCGAATGACCGTTTCCACGTTTCATCGCCCCATTCAATTTTAACTCGATGGGAGATGTCGCAGGATTAATTGATATATATCGTTATCCACAGTCACATACACACGATGAAATTAATTAATCGTCACAGAGAATACGATAAATTTTGATTCAAAATTTCCTGTTTGCTGTTCATGAATATAATACTGTTACTAGATCACTCTAATCTTACATTCACGGTAAAATTATTCTATATTTATTAGCAGACCCTTGTCATTTGGAAAAACAAAATTTCATCGTATATAAATCATTCGACCACTAGAATCGTTTCAATCGTTTTACCGACTATTTCGAGTATTCGTGTTTCTTTCAGAGAAATTTATCTTTCTGAATTAAGTGGCCCGAGTTAAGAAAGTCAAATCTTTAATCATACACAAGCTGGTGAAAAGAACTTTAAAACCTCTATAAACTCGTTTTCGAAATTAACAGCAACTGTTCCCCGCCGACTTCCAATCTATTCTATCCCCATAAACATCGATGATAATCTATATAGCAACGATCTATCGAAATACATACGTGTGTACGTGCAAGCAGCACCCCCGGTCACCGTGTAGATGTTCAAGCCTCGCCAAATACGGTGCCATTGCTCCCGAAGGATTAATAATTCGTCGACGAATTAACATCGAACTTCATAGCCGCGACAACAATGCGAAATTCAATATTCCGTGCGTCGACGACTGAATGAATGAAACAAGTTCGCGACAATGGGATCCGCTATACGATATTAATATTTTCTAGGCAGCGAGGCGTTCGGGATGATGGTTGAGCGCGCGAATACGTCAAATTATACAGGAACGTGTTCACGCTATTACAGTTTTTCTTCGCGTCTCAAATAATCGATTTGTGGAAAGAGATAGAAAGGGAACGAAAGAATTTCCCTATTCTGTCTGAGATTTGATTTGTAAAAATCTGTCAAGGCTTCGTGCAGTAACGAATGATTTTTAATTGGTAGACATAATTTTCTTGATTAGAAGGAAAACGCGAACCAACTCTTAACCAGCTACAGAAGTATAAATTCATACTAAACTATCTAAAAATGTGAAATCGCTTCTCCATGATCTTATTACGATTTTATTATTAATTTGAGATTAACGTTACAAATACCGATAACGACGTCAAGCTGCTCAAAGCTATTCCTTATCAACAAATTTTCTAAAGTAACAGAATTCTGAACTGACCGTTTCCCTAAATTTTTCCATTTCATTTCTAATTTTTATATTAGCGAGTACTAGTTCTGGCCATTTAAACTGTTATACAGCGTGAATACGTACCATCCTGAATACGTTTGTGTAGACTCTCGATCGAGACTCACCTTGCTACCGATCTATTTCATCCACACCCTGATCTCCAATTCTTTATGCTATGCGTGAAATCTCGGTGGAGAACTTAGCCGGGCCGTGTGAAATAATGCGGTTAATAAGTGTGAATGTTTCGTGTAAATTCGATACCCGGTCCGGGTGGAAAACGCGCTGCAATTTGCCAATTTACGACGACACTTTTCGCGCAATCGTTCATTAGCACCGTTACTCATTCGTTATTCATTTCCCTCAGGTACCTGCAGATTACGGTGGACACACGAGGGGTGAAAACTCGCACGTGCGTGGAAAAATGCGGCCCTCAGTTAGTATCGCCATGATGCAAGGGATCCCGTACGCCACTTCCAATTGCGGGATCGTAAAGAACGATGTCTGCATTGCACGAAAATTGCCATTACCTATATTTGTATCTTATTCTCTTTAATTCAAGCGTGATTTCAACAAATACGATCAACGCGAAATGCTTTCGCGGATAGCTCGTCTTAACTCTGCCGCATCGTTTGGTTCACTTTCGACCGAATCGAATTTTTCTCTGTATCAACGAATTTCCTAGATTTGAGGAAAATATGAAATAATATGAATGCTTTGATATTATAATATATGATTCTTACGTATGATGGCTTTGATCGTATCTATGTTAATGGCTTTTTAAAACATTAAAATTTAAACAGTAGCGTTAACGCTATGAGAAAAGTTAATACTATAGAGTGTCATAGAGTGTTCTGCGGTGGAAAGAATTATTTCTCTTAAAAAATTTGTCTTTCAAAATGTCAGTTATAATCGTATAAAATGTCACGCGTTCTAGCATAAATAAATTCGTGCAATGTTCGACACATCCATGCTTTATTCCCGAATGATCTTGATCGTTCTAATATTTCATTTTGCTCGTAGGGATACGGTGTTTTTAAATCGCTGCGTGAAGAACGAAACGATGGAGTCGATCACTTCTTTGATCACGAAACTCGGTCTCGATAATTTTTACAAGGTTTGTAAATTTCCTTTTTAATAGCAATTAAACACCCGTTAATCGAAGTTTCGCCAAATCCATATACCTTGCTACGTTAAATCATAGTAAGTTTACGACATTTTCCGTCGGTATAGATCGTCACCAACGGGTAAATACAATCTTTGTAGCGTGTAAACTAAGCAACTTATGTAAACTTAAAGGAACAGCGTAGATATTTAGTTTGAACTTTATCGTCTTCTTGCCTCGGGTTGATTTTACTCTCTGAAACGTGTTCAGAAACGGATTCCTTCTTTTTCAGGAAGCCTCCAGGGATCTTAGCGTTGCTTGGAGAGAGATAGTTTACTTATTACTGATCGCTTTAGGTACGTACTACGTCTTCTTTTTCTTACAAAATTTTCTTTCTTTCGCGTGAACATTTTTTCACATTTCTTCGTTCTTTATCCTCAGCTATTTCATTCGGCATTTTAATCGCTTTCCGCTACATGGTGCAATGGATTGTTTACATTGTTTTAACAGCCGTTATTTTGGCGTCCATCGGTGGTTCGGCATTTCTTTGGTAAGATTTCGATTGATATTCTTTTTTTTTTCTTAGATTCGTTTAAATATGAATATCACGGCCGAAGAATACACGATTTTTATGCTTTACGGTGGAACAATTTTCAAATTTCTTTCTTTTTTTATTTGATTTTGGTATTAGATATATGTATGTGTATAAAAAATATTAATTGTCACATTATACCGTTTTTCTTTTTTACAAAACTCTAAATTTATCAGCTATTTTCGAAAGATGTGTACTATTGTATTTAACGAGTCATCTTTCCAACTCGGTAAGTATAGAATCAGAATACTTCTAGCCGTTATGGCGGAGATCAATGATCGTCGTTACTTCTGACGAAGACGATTCATGGTTAAAGGTTATCACCGTCATCGTGTGTTCTAAGTGGAGACATTGTGTTTGCGCAGGCTAACGTGGTACTGGGAGAAAAGAGCGGTGCAAACGCATGAAATAGACGTGGAAGATTCGAGCGAGCAGGCTTACATAGTCTACGCGATCATACTGACTGCTGTTACGGTAATGAGTCTTGATATTTTGAAGATTCTTCCTCATTGTCCTGTCGTCGAATTTGTCGACATTTTATTTAAAAAATTTGTTAACGACCAGATATATCGTATAATTAAGGAATTTTCATAGACCATCCGTTGAACGATTTTTCCATATAAATTAGAGATGTCGTTTGTCGGCTATTCGTAAATATTTTTTGTCGAAATTTGTCGAAAAAATAACCGAAATACATTGATGTTATCGATTGGACATAATTTACAGGTCGTCATTCTTCTGATCATTCTGGTGATGAGAAAACGAATCGCCCTGGTGATGCAGCTGTTCCATGAGGCAGGAAAGGCTGTCTACGCGATGCCAGTGCTCCTCCTTCAGCCTGTATATGTACGTAAATATTTGATAAAACTAACGTATACAGAGTGATGCAACATTTCTGCCCACTCGAACAACTTTTCCCTCTTTTCGAGGAACAAACTCATAGCGTATCGAATAATCTAAAATTGCTTTCGGACTCCATGCTTTTTCCTCTTCACCCTCGTTTCAGAAACATCAAATTTTCTTATCTTTATATTTATCTATCGTTATGCTTCTTCTCACTCAGCATGTAAGTGAGAGAGGGCTACTACTTTATCTTCCTATCAATGTGCATTCTTTTCTTCCTATTTTTAAGTCACGTGATATACAGTTGAAAAATAGGAGATCGCACGACGCTGTGGTCGAACAACACGACGGAAGAAACGATTTACGCAGTAAACTTAGAAGAACAAGGTTCGAGAATAAAAATCCGGACAAACTTTGAAATTTGTATCTTTTAATCGTTGTCATACTGTCTTCTGTGATATAACATCATATTAATTGTTATTATATCGTACTTATTTTCGTTAACAGAAGCTCTAACAACTTTTTGCAGCAAATGCGTCGTAAGCTTCCGTTTTCGATTAATTTACTTCGAAGAATGCTTTAAACATGTACAGTCATCGGTTTCAGACTTATCTTCTGATCGGTCTCACCGTGTGCGGCTGGCTTTACTGCATGCTTTGGATCGAAAGCGCTGGGAACATTTACAAGAACCGGAAAAATCACATCCATTTCAGGAAGGATAGTGTTCTAATCGTAAGTGATGGAATTATGTAACGCAAAATTTAACAGAGGCAGAAACGACTAATATGTAACATTTTTCAGGCGACCAGATGGTACAATCTGTTCTTCTTCTTCGTCACCTGCGAATTCCTCTTGGGCTGCCAGCATATAGTCGTCGCTGGCGCCGTTGCACGTTGGTTCTTCACCAGGTGACACTGATCGATATCTTATTTCACACGTAGACACAATGGAAATTTCCATATTCCGTTTTTATTCCACTTACTCGACTAGTAGACTTTGCATTTTCATTGAGTAAAATAATATTATTCTTTACGATAGTAATCCAAAAAGAAGAATAGAAAACGAGATTTAATTTTCTAACGAAACACTTGCGATCACAAAAATCGCGAGTTTCGTCCAATAGTAAGAAAAAATAAAATTTTCTTTCGAACAGGGACAAGAAGCAGGTCTCTCTGCCAGTCGTGAAAAGCTTTGGTTATCTCATACGATATCATTTAGGCACTGTAGCATTTGGCGCACTGATTATTGGTATAGTTCGATTGATAAGGGCCATCATTTCCTTCGTGCAAAATCGCCTCAAGAAATACGACAACGATTGCGTACGATTAATCTTATGGTGCTGTCATTGTTGTTTCTGGTGTTTCGAGTGCGCTTTGAGGTTCCTCACGAGGAATGCTTACATCGAAACAGGTATGTACTACATGATATATACTAATTTTTTTTAGCAAGTATTCGCCACATCCTTCAATTTTCTTATCTTAATCTTTTAATCTGTTTGCTCGCTCAGCTATATACGGATGTAATTTTTGTACGGGAGGCAAAAAAGCTTTTCAGGCTTTAGCCAGCAACGTGCTAAGAGTCGCAGCTATCAACAGCGTTGGAGACTTTGTTCTATTTTTAGGAAAAGTAACGGTGGTCACGTTGACAGTTGTTTCGGGAATTTACTTACTACAGGTACGGATCTATGTTCATCCGTAAATCAATTTTTCCAACTTTAGATCTGTTAACCTCTTTGTCTGTTTAGAAAAAAGAAGGACTCCATTATCCATGGGTACCGATTGCGTTGGCCGGATTTTTCGCTATGTTGGTCGCGCATTGTTTTATTTCCATATACGAGGTAACTTTTGTAACAATTTTTAGAAATAAACTTGTATCTTCACGTGTGAAACAACATCGATTATCGTCCGTAATTGTGAAATTTATGTTCGTTACAGATGATCATAGATACGATATTCATCTGTTTCTGCGAAGATTACGCGAAGAACGATGGCATCAACAGGCCATACTTCATGAGCCGTGGATTAATGGTAATTAACATTTTCTAATTAGCCGTGCATTATAGAACGATGCTTTATATCGAAATGTCTGTCTTTGTTTCAGGAATTCGTTGAAAACAGCAAGAAAGCTCTCCGATACGCGGATCATCACTCGTAACGACGTTTTATTGCTCGTTAAAATATTACACGGCATTTCGAAGATACCCGAACCTTCGGATCGTGTCTTCGAAACCATCGTGGCACGAAACACGCGAAAATGCCTGGCGAATGAACGTTATATTAAACTTCGAACGTTCCATTTCGCGAATTTTCCAAAAACACGTCGCGTGTTTCTTTACCTCTGTTTCTAAGTACAAGTACAGTATCACGTAGAAAAATGTAAGTGGTAGCCAATTTAGATCACGGATCTCTGCTGACTGTCTGTTCTAGATCCTAATTACAACTACAGCTACTGTAACTATAAAGGAAGACATCCTATAGGTAGATTATCTATATTTTTTATAATAACGAATGAGAAAGATAAGCTTGAACAGACTTTTAAACGAACAATAAACGTAACTCAAATTACGACTGATCGACGAGTACAACGAAGAGCTGTCTGTATCTTAACGCGTAATTTTCACGTAACGCTGTATTTGTATTTAGTTGCGTAAATGCAGTGTACGCACAATTGTTCGCGTTCTTCCAATCGCAAGGATGAACGGAATTATAGTTATTGTTTTCACGTTACGAATTGCCACGAGTCATCTTCGTCAAAGAAATCCGTGTGCTAATCTAAGCCATCCAAAGTGTTATATCGTATTTATGTTATATTATATTCTGCGATTTTTGCAGCGGCGCAGCTTGTTGTACGTATACGAACAACAAATATGATAACATTCCGGTCCGTACGAAATCGTACGAGACACATCGAACGAAATATTTCTTTTATACAAATCGATCGCTTCTCCATGACTCGTTCCAAGCGCACGTAGACGTACCGTTCGTGTGCATTTACTCGCGTCGATAATATATCGCGTAGAATATCTCTTCTATCGTGTGAAGCATCTCGTTTGTATTGTATTAGCGTATAAATGTATTAGCGTATAAATAATAATCGAACAGTCGCGAAGAGATATCGCTGCAACATTGTCAATAGTCCAAACAAGCATCGTCTTGGAACACGTTCGAAACTTGGTAGCGCGTTTACCAAGAGCCTTTTGAACGCCTGCCAGCGATTTGAAAATTTATGAAAAGGCGATACTGCGAGCGGAAGTGCACTTAATGCAGCGACGATAACGCTATCTCCGAGTAATTGCAGTCGCATCGACCATCGCGTGTCTAGGTATATATATCCACTCCCTTTCTTTCACGCAACGAAACCGCCCATCGATAATACGCGCATCTCCAGCGTCACACCTTTCGATGATCGATCGTCGACAATGAACAAGTACAACGTTATTTTTAAATATGGTCGCAGCTTTAAGTCACACGATCACCTCCTCCGAAACATTATAGTATTATAATTTTAATAAAATTCGTATTTTATGAACGTTCTCGTGCGACGAACACGCAATTTAACTAATTTTACAAAACACGCTCCTTCTCTCCACTCCTCGAGCATCCATGTTCATCTCTTCTTCTGGTTAGTCAAGTTGCTTGCATTCGATCGGTAGTATTCGAATACACCTCGATCTGAATATTTATACAACTTGAAATATTCTTTCAAATTTCTTTATTTACGGTTATTGGTCGAGTCACTTGGATCCGAGCAACGGGAAACGTTTCATCGAAGCGAACCTTGAATTTTACTTGACTTGAAACATCCTTTAAAGTTTCCAGTAAGACTGCGGTTCTTGCAACTATTCCCTGACTTGAACGAAACAACAATAGCCGGGCAAACTATTATTTCGAGTTCCATCCTCCTTGATATCAACTCTCCAAACTAAATCGAGTTTTCTGAACTTCTGCCACGTTCGACTACAGTTTTACAACGGTTCTCTGCAGGGTTCGATTTTAGTCCACGTGTTGCGTTCAAATGTATTCTCCTTCGTTCTGATCCTTCGATCAACAAGACTAGCAATAGACGTTAGTGACAAAAAAAAAAAAAATAGAAAAGAAGACAGTCTAAATAAACATCTTTTTAAAAACCGAAATTTCTTTCGTGCTCTTTTAAAATTGAAATTTCTCTGACTTTAAATCACCGAACTAATTCGAACGAGCTTTATTCCGGCCTAAAAATATCGACCACCCAAGGCCATTCTCTCCGCTGTATATTTTAAATACGATCCATTTAACGTACGTAAACGTGGCAAACCTCTTCCACTTTCTTCCAAAGGCTAGAGAAGGCAACGAACAGTAACGACTGTAAAGGATAACTAGTCAGGGAAGGATGGGGTTCGGTGGACTTCGATCTTTGCACCCACCTATGGTAACTATTATTAACTCTACTTCAACCATCTCCTGCTGCGATTTGAAAAGTAGGAGAGAAAAAGAATGAATCTTAAGGAGAGGGAGTCATCGTGGGAGAAACTTAAGACACAGCGTCAGCAGACTTGCTCCTCGTGGTTCATTTTTTTCTTTTCTCATTTATTCTGTTTCGGGCACACAGTTTATTGCATGAATGATTTATACGATTCCGGTATATCGCGACGACACACGGTCCTCGTCACCGGAGCACGCGAATGGATCTTTATTTTTTTTGTTTTTTTTTTTGTTTTTTTTTTTTCGTTTCCTTGTCTGTTTGTTACACTCAACTGGCAGTAAGTTGGGCCGACATTTACGAAATTTAAGCAGACACTTGTCTTGTATGTATATATATACCTTTTTCTTATATATACATATACGTATATATTCTTTTTAATTATTTTTCCTTTTTTTTTTTCTTCGTTTATCATTCTCACTTAAAACTGAGATAGGGGCGCTCGATGAATGTGTACAGCATCGGTGGAAAAAAGGGGGACATACTTTGTTCACTTATACAAAAATCATCACGGGAACAATTGTACTCTATGCGTAGCGTTGTCCAGGGACAACTTCGACTGGACTAGCGAACGAGAATTAACGCGAAAACGACGCCTCGTTAAAGTTTACACCGAAGCGATATTTCCTAGAACACCACTTTCGATCGAATCCTCGTTATCTCGATCGTTTTTTCTTATTTTTATTTTCCTTCCTTCTACACACACACACACTGTCTCTCTCTCTCTCTCTCTCTCTTTCTCGTCGTTTCTTACAACGCACTCTAATCGTGCTGTATCGCTAAATGGATTCATTTACAACACGAAAAATACCTCTTATTTATCATAGATAGAGCATCCACTTGGGACAATATGGCGTCGCGCAGGAAGTTTCGTCGAGCGGATAGCTCGATGCAAGAATCGCAACGCTTCGCTAGGTTACTTGCAGCTGCAGGCATACATTCAACGATTTTATTTTATTATTATATTTTTTTTCCTTTTTTTTCTTTTACTCTTTTTTCGAATTTTCTCGTGTTTGGCAAAGATACCACTAATAACGCGTAAAAAGTGATCGAACTGAACGGACACACGGCGTACATTCTACGATTGTTCCAAAGGGAAAGAGTGTATACGTGTGTGAATGTGTACGTGTAATTGGTCAAGCTTGAATTCACCACCGTGACCCATAATGCCCGGCAACGAAGCATGTCACTCTGGTTCCGCGTAGCTTTAGCTAAATAGCAAAATTCGCGCGTCATGGTTTCCCTGCTCTCTCTTTTTCTCTCCTTCTATCTCTCGCTCTCTCTCTCTCTCACACACACACACACTTTCTTCTCTTTTTCTTCCTTTCCCTTTTCTTTTCTTCTTAAATTTCCATTGAACGGAAATAATCTTAATGCCCGTTTACACCTTGGTCGCGATTCGTTGGGACTCGAAACGAACGATGAACAAATTCGTTGAGTGTAAATTATCGTTATTGTTATTATTCTTTAATATTACTTGTTTTTTTTTTTTATTTATTCTTTAAAACCAACACTTCAGCCGTGATAAGGTGCACGTTTGATAACGTCGCGCTTTCAACGAAACATGACCGAAGAACGGTGATTTCTCGAGACATTATTCCAGTATGATTCGTTTTCTTTTCTTCCTTTTTGGTCTCGTCGAGTCATCGTCATCGTACGACACAAGGCATCCAAGCGATTATGGAAATTTATTGTACAATTTGCTCAGTCTTTGTGGAGGAAGCAAACGATCTCGTTCCCGAGGCGACGACACGAGGCGAGGATGAGAGAAGTGTTACAACGAGGAATAAAGCAGGTCGACGATCGTCGGCAGTGACGATTGGAAAGGATCGTCTCTCTCTCTTTCTCTCTCTCTCTCTCTCTCTCTCTTGCATTCCTTTTCTCAGGTTGTATAATAAATAAATTGTATTACGCTAAAAAATATCTGGCTCGGTACATACAGTTTATGCGCGGATTTAGTTTAGGTACATACAAACGCTCTTGGCCTACTCAGGAAACATAGAACGTCGCGACTGACGAGGTGCCATTAGGATTTGAAGAATCGAATTGCAAATTTACAGAAATATACAATTCGAATATTGCCTTTGTCAGATTGCTACCATACATCGTACTATAATGCAATACCTCGAGGCAACGTAAATATGATATTAGATTGAAAAATTGATATTTTCCTGACTCGCAGTATCATTAGAGAACTCTAAATGTAAGCAGTATTTTTTAAGAAAAAAAAAAATAGTTTATTTCATTACAGGATCCTTATCGATACTAGCAGATATCGATACTCTTACTTTACTAGCATTAATTTTGAAAATTGTAAAAATGGAAGTTTCGTACAGTAATTGAAGAAGAAAGGAACGTTACACACAACTGTCTATTGTCTCTATCGCTAATTCTTCTATATTCTAACGATAAGACGACGAATTCTGGACTGCGATGACGTGTGGTCCCTGTTGTGATATTCAATTTCAATTCTAGCTTCACGAATATCTAGAAATAGTTTTGTCCCGTAGTAAGGAACGATAGTTACGCGCCGTATGCGGCGAATTTCACAAAAGCAAAGCCGATTCTTCGGATTTTCTACGTATCAAAAACACGTAGACGTAACGTTATAGATATGTCTTCAGAGTGTCACAAGCGATCCAATCAACATATACTACGGCGAGGATACAGACAGTGACTCACAACTAGAGCGAACAGTTATTCATTCAGCGTTACTACCTATTAATTCCTTTTATGAGAACATCGATCAAATAAGAATTGACATATCAGCGGTATCAATCTTTAAGCCTCGTTCGGATTAGCCAAGTTGCTTGAATTCGAGCGACTTAAGATCTGAATTTTATTAATGTAAACCTGTTATTTACTTGGCTTAAAATATCCTTTCAGGCTTCGATCGTCCTGCAAGAGAAATATAGATGATTTTTTCCAGAAAAATACCGCTCACGCAATAAATCTTAGAAATGTATATTTCAAAAACATTCGACCCTTTCTCTTTGACAATTTTTACGATAACGGAACGTTTAATTTTTGAACATTTAGTCTTTCTCTAATACTACAAAAACTGTAAAAAATAGTTCGAAAAATTTAAAAAAAGTAAAGGAAAATAAATACGTTTCGAGTTTACACCTTCGATTAGTATAGCACCCCAATCGTCGCGACAGATATATAAGAAAGTGGATGAAAAGCGCGTGCACGTACATCGCTCAGGTTCAGCGAGAGTTCTGCCGAATGGCTCGCGTTCGATCTACAGAGTTTCACAAAGTCGACCAAGTTCCTTCCGACCTACTTTTAACATCATCGATCGATGCAGGAAAAAAAGTGTATTTTGTCATGGATAATAGATTGCAGGTTCGCATTCTACAGCTTCTATTCTACCAAATATTTCGTTTCGCACAGCAACATACATATGTTTGTCCTACGTTCTCCAAGAAATGAACGCGCGCATTCGGCAACGACGATGACGATGACATTGGTGATGAATACGGCGAAGAATGAAGCGCGCGCTCAGCCGGCAAGCGCGCTGACACTCGCACCCAATTGCTTCAAAGGGCGAAGAGGATCGTCTCTTGAATTGTACGACGGGAAGAGAACATCGTGCACATCGTTCTATTACAGAGTTCTGTCCTAGGGGATCCTGTTCCTCTTTCGATGGTCCATTTTGTAAGTTTCGAATATTTCGATATTCGGTTAGGCTTTTCAAAACTTCGTATTGTCGCTTTGGCATCTGAACGTCGGCTTTTCTTCGACGACAGATATTCCTTAACGTCGTAGGGACGAGAACATTGGATTTTTTGAATCTTGGTCTCTTGTTCAGAGATTTGACAGTGATCGATGCGCAGAACTTCCTGATTCTTGTACCCTTGTGACATAATTCCTCCGGACTTTATAGACCTTGCAAACTTCCGCTGTTCCTTGTCTTAGAAGTTACAGAAGCAACTATTCTTTCACTGAATCCATTCTGTTTCTCACGCTCGTAAATTCTATAAATAAGAGTCTAGATTACGAACACCTTGTATCGGAACTTTTTTCTTCCGAGCAATTTCTACTCGTCTACGTGCACC